TAAGTGTAATCGGCTTTTAAAAATACTCATTTTTTCTCGAAACGCTGTTTTCAGAGTGGGTAAGACAAATTATGTAAAAATCGGACCTTAACTGTTCAAGCCCACACATACCGAATACGTGGACCCCAGTGCGTATGACTGATTTTTGGTCGAAAATATCGGTCAATGCATGGGATTTCTGGAATTCGGGAATTTCGGGAATATCGGGAATCTTTGATAGTTATATACCCTATACCTAATATAAAGATTTTCGAACTTGCCATTGCCTTTATACCACATATAGCGGCCAATGTGGGAGTTATTTAAATGAAATTGGAAGAGCTTATTTTTCTAATAACAGTGTATCTTTATGCCTAAAATGGATAAAATCGGGTGAAAATGTTCGATTACACCTGAACTTAGCCCTTTCTTATTTTTTTTCTTTTAATTTTTCAAAATGAATCGCCGATTATTTAAGTACCTTTAATTCTGTAAATGTGTTTTTTTAATCTATTTATTAAATAAAATGCCTCTTGTGGATATAACCCTTTAAATGTACAAATATATGAATATGTTCAGATGTACTGCCATTAGTTCGTTAATCCACTATATTAACTACCTTCATATCTACTTAATTTACTGAAATTTATTTTTTATATTCTTTTAAATTATTTAATTTTCTTTCAGCTATTTTGTTTATTAGTATTTATTAAAGTTTTAACATGTTTTTTGCAGCCTTAGCATTCAGATTGTAGAGAGTTGTTCCGAGAATGTTAATGAATAGAGAAGGCGTAAATGTTAAATCAAATCTCTTTGAGTACTTTTTGTAGTTTTTACATGAGTTTTCACATTTACATTTATTAACATTCTCTCATGTTATATCGCCTTACAGGTATCCCATGGAGAAAAGCTTTATGGTAAATTTCATTACCTTCGTTTCTGGCTGTTGCATGACCCAGTCAATATGAAAAAATTTTATTATATTATTTATTAAAATTCAAATAATTTCAACCCATCATATTTACCTTCATTCCAAGTATTTACTGATTCAGGCACATATTGCATTGACTCCTCACTTGCTCTTGGGTAGTCATAATTGTTAAACCAACTATAAGGATTTTGGCTCATACAAATTTGCAACAGATTAAGAACAAATATTAAGCGAAAATTCATGTTGCTGTTTGAAATTTTATAATTTTCTAATTCTGTTGCGTTAATGTGGGATGTCTTGGTTGAAGTAAGTTCTGTCATCAAAAAGCATTGCCCATTTATATATACCGCAAATAATTTATTTTCTGAAGAAATCGGCGTTACTAATATTATGACGCATATACATATGTATTAAACGTACATATGTGTATGCATATATATAGTGCATATCAGAAGTATAGTGCAGTTTTGCCTAACGTTTGTGGTCAAATATGTACTTAGCGACCTCTCTTTATAACCAACCATTTAACCGAACCTAATTGATATGGACGAACGTAGGCTGCTGATTAAGTATCTGACCTTGGGCACCCTTAGTATTGCCAAACACCTGTAGACGTTTCCTTTGGAAAAAATCGATATGATGAAGTTGTCTTTTATAACGGCCATATGTCCGCAAGGATCGACCAAAATTAGCTGGTAAAATTGGGATCGATGAGAATTATCGAAAAGGAAAATATTGTGAATTGCAGTGAGGTTAAGAGATCTTCAATTTTCGCGTGATAAGCATCTATACAATTTATACTCATGCAGATCCTTTTGGAGCACTATTGTGTACTCTTCCACAGCCAAAAATATCAAATAGCAACCTTCGTATGACTAATGGCGTCTTTTGACGCAAAACCTTTCTAAAAACCACAACGAAAAACTGAGATAAATGTAGTGATGTAGTGACGCGGCATTTTTGACTCACTGCCGGCTGGTCCAATCAGAATACAATTCTGACCTTTGAAAAGATCTTCTACTGCGTTGAGTAATGTATTTACTTAGTTATTTAAATATTTTTGATGGAAAAAACTAACGGTTCTGTGCTTGTTTATCTGCTAATCGATAGTCTACTATTTTTGGTGCGGCTTCTGCTTCTCCACAGCAAGTGAAATTTGCAAACTGTGGCATCGTTGTAAAAAAAAAAACAATAAAGCAAAATCTTTAAAGAACTCATCTTGCAGATTTTCCACAAGACTGCAATTGCATGCTAACAATGCACCTAACCTCACTAAATAAAACTAAAACACTTGTACTTTTTTCGCTTTGCCTTCACATCGAGTATTAGAATTTTTAATATCCGTTATGAAATGGAAAAATTTTATTTTAAAAAACGTAGTAAGTTGAGGTTTTTACCAGGGTGAGCGATAGTTCTTATAAAGTCGATTCCATTAATAGAGATCCTCACTGGTACATAAGTGGTAACTATCGCAAAATTAATATAAATTAAATAAATGTTCCCCAAATCCGATGATTGTCCATAACTGAAGGCATTTGCCACAAGTTTGAACACCAGAAGAACGCGAGACCTATAAATATACATAAAGATCAGCATGACGATTTATCCTTTTATCCTTCTATTTGTCTCAGTGTGTGAGATATCGATCTGAAATTTTGCATACGTTCTTCTCTCCCCAAGAAGCTGCTCATTGCCCGAACAACAATAAACATGTTGGCTACTAGCGCTTAATGCAAAAGTTTAACAGTTTTGCAATACAATTGGAATTTAAAAGATCTAATTCTCAAGAGATAGCGACTGTTCTGAGGCAGATAATAAAAAAATAAGACACTTTGCGATATTTGCTTTCTGGCGTTTGAAGAAAATAGTCGAATAAAGTCTCCGGAGATATTTCGATTGACTATGAGTTGGAACAGATTTTTTTTATGTTGATGTTCATCTCAGGTTTGACGAAAAAAGCGAATGAAATTTAATTTTAAGAAAAATAATTTTATAGGTTTCATACTAAAAAAATAAATGCCTGGGTTTCAATTATATGGTCTGTGGACCGTCCGCATAATGAGTGTTACGAAAATTGGGCGGGTATAGCAGTGTTAACTACATTAAAAATATACAAGTTTTCGAAACATATGTAGTATGTATTAAAACTTCTAATTTCATTAATTATATCCTTGTACTCGACCAGTGAGAATGTACTCATAATTTCACTATCTGGTAACGAGGAACCGATATCGCCGGTTTTTTTAAATTTAAATACACAGGTCGTTAAGGGAAGTATTTTGATCTGATTTTACAAAGATCACTGATATAGTGAATGATATCAATATGTTCCGTAATTTGTGTGGCAAAACCCCGCAATTATATACTCGCACTTATACATATGAATATGTTCGCGAGTAATATAATCAGTTTCTGGGAATTTCTACAATTTGTTTTTATTTTTGTTTAATGTGAGTCAGAGTCGAACAGCTAATCATAACATACATATGTATGTACATATATGTTTAATTAGAACCATTTATTAAACAACAAACATATGTAAGTATAAATGTATTATGTTCTACGAAAAATGTTTATCAGTTTTCAAAAGAAATCAGTATTAGCTTTTGCAACAACCACACATTATTGACCCAAAATCAAATTTGTACATATGTATGTATGTACATACGCAATTTAAACCACATATATTCGCAAAATGTACATGCGGCTTAAGGAAGGTATATTCCCGACCTGAAAGTACAGCGATTGGTTCTACTTAAACCAAATCAGCCTCCGGAGAGCCTCATCATATCGACCTCTGTGCATGCTTGACACGATTGGCAAAGTGTACGAAAGCATGAAGAAACCGCTTGAGGTTAGCAATTCAGAAACAATACGGCTTTATGAAAGAGGTCCACTATTGACGCACTAAACAAGTCGTTGACACTGCGAAATGCGCAGTAAGTGGAAAAGGTGAGAGGCGGGACTAAAAATATTGCGCGCTGATCACCTGATGTAAGAATGCTTAACTCGGCAAAATGGGCAACATAATCGAGGCTCTATATGAAATACACGCTCCTCAATATCTCATAAACATTATTATAAGTTATTTTGAAACAGACGACTAATAATCGACACCGATGAAGGCACCAAGAGCTACTCTATTTCGATGGGGTACCGCAAGGCTCGGTTTTAGGACCCATTCTATGGAACGTGATGTATGATGGGGTGCTAAGTATAAAGCAACCAGAAGCCGTGAAATTAATCGCATACGACGGATGACCTTATTGTAGTAGCAGTGGCTAAACACCTAGATGACCTCCGGAGCAAATGCAAATGAAGTGTAAACAGTCTGCGGCAATGGTTCCCTCAAGCCTAGTAATGGCTGAGCACAAGACGAAGTTCTTCTAATAAGTTACGAGGAAAGTGAGGAAAGGATATCTCTCACCATAGGGAGTGTGAGATACAATCACAGCCACAACTAAAGTACCTGGGAGTAATAATAGACTCAGGCTTAAATTTAAGGAGCACCTAGAATACACTCGGTAAAGCATATAAAATTCTCAACGCCTTATCAAGAATGATGGCAAATAAGGGCTGCGTGCGTTCAGCCGTTGAATTTACTCGCAAAGGTAATAAGTAGGTTATGTTACATGCGGTCCCAATATGGATCCAGCGCGCTTAACATACTGCATCATGCCAAACAATTAAACACAGTGCACCGGCTGTCGGCACTAAGAATAATCAGTGCTTTCCGAACAATATCTAGCGAGGCTGCTGAAGTAATAGCCAGATGATGCCATGACATCCAGGGTGAAGAACTCGCGCGACTATACAAGTTGTAGCAGAGACAACTAAAGAATCAAAAGAAGAGAGAAACAAAGCATGACAATGTGGCAGCAACGGTGGCAAACCTCACCCAAAGGACGGTGGAACACAGACTCATACCGGACATCCGTCCGTGGATAGCAGACGACATGGGACCCGGATTTCCACCTTACCCAAATACTAAGTGGTCAGAGTGCTTAGAAGCTACCTGTACAGATTCCATCGCGACACTAGTCCGAACTGTCGACATGTACAGAGTGCTTAGAGGACTCTGAACATGTATTATTTTACTGCCCTCGCTTTGTAAGCATAAGAGAAAAACTAAAAACTATACTTGGTGGTAGTTTACGGTGAAAATTTGACGACACTCATGTCAGTCCACTGAGAACTGGAACGTTGTCAGCGAAGCGGCAGCTCAATCATGACAAACTGAGACATATTAGAACAGATTAGGCGTTCTTCAGTCCGTACTATGAGGAGGACTTAAGTCTTATCACCCCACGAAGTAATACTAATCAGGTGGTTCCGTGGGAGGGATATACGGTGGGAGTAGTTAGGTGTAAGCGGATTAAGTTCCGCACTTCGGCTTTCGATTCTTCCCCTATTAAAAAAAAAAAAAAAAAAAAAAAAACATACGCAATATTTCATTAACAAATATTTTTAAAATTTGATTATGCAAACTTAAAATTTTTAATATGTATATGACCACTAAATCTATAATACTCAAATTCACTCAGGACAAATCTTTTTAGGAAACCTAACGACAGTGTGAAAACAGGAATCGGATGATAACTCCGCCCACTCCTCATACAACGGGGATTTGTTATAAAATACTAAAAGTGCGATAAATCTAAAAATAAATGCGTCAGAGACATAAAATTTTATACCCGAGATGATAGAAGAAGGCTTTAAAGGCGCCGTTGTCAAAATTGGATTATGGGCGTGGCCCAATTAGTGTAATATACTGAGAGCTGATCAACAATTGACAAAATTCGGTAGGTCATTACTTCCCCGCTTCTCACATACCACAATTTTAAATCTATTCTTTCACCTTCAGTATACAAAATTTTAAAATAACAAAAAGGAATTGAAAGGAATAACAACTTGAATTAAAATGTTATTTAAAAAAAAAGGTTACTAAAATAAGGAATAAAAAAATCTGTGATAGGATTTGAACTTAGGCAAAATACTTGATGTTGCAATAAGTAATTGTGTTATACAAACAGCAACAAAGATAACATTTAAATAGAGGAGTATAATGTGTAAACTCAAGCAACTATCAATTTTTTGTGGTTTTAATTGGCCAATATGTACAATATGTATGTATGTGAATACTCTCCAAAATTGGCTTTTCTTTATGCGCATTCCTAAATATATTTACATGTACATACCTATGTCCCTCAACATGCAATTTGTACAGACGCAGACGCGCCATTATCGACCAAAAAGATTTGAACAAGCTTGCGCATATTTTCTCATATTTCATATTACAACGAAAACAAACTCATTCATAAGGATTGCGCGTCTACTACAGAGCAATGTGCATTCGTTCATAACTATCTGCGTCGACGCTCTCTTCGTAGCGCCTGGACAACCATTAATTCGGACTTTATCCATTGCTGTCAACAAAAAAAACTTCACAGGAGAACAAAACTGAAGTTTTAAATAAAAACAGAGTGAACATTAATTATAACATTTATAAAATTGATATCTTTATTATTTCTATATGTTCAATTAATCCATATAGGCTTTTTGGTGTTTACTTTGCTTAATTTCATAGATTTTCGATTTAGCCATTTTATCTTAAATACAACGCGCTGGCAAAATGCGGCAAATCAAAACCGTACTCAAAAGAGCATAAGGCAATTTTCAATAATTAAGCATCAAATGAACAAATCAACATAGTCGACACATTGTCGCGAGATTGTCGATTCAAAACAGCCTCGTCTCCGCGCGAACTCGCCGTTACTTCCATGGCATGCCAGCATGGACCAAAGCGTTTCAACAGAGGATTCGTATTCTATTATTATGTTGCTTAATTTGTATTGAGATATACTGATACCTCATAATATAATAATAAAAATACAAATACACATGAATTCAAACTTATTAAATGGTTTTAAAATAAATACGAACAAAAAAATATTATCTGAAATACTATGCGCCCGGATCCTCGTGCCTAAGAGATCGTTCAATGGCTTTACTTTAACCTAAAAGCAAAAGTGAGAGTTTGGAACATTGTTTGCGCGGGGTAAGGAGAAGCAAGCATCAACGTACGTGTATTTATGTATGTACATAAGTATGTGTGATAGTCATAAATATTTTTATAAATACGCATAAATAAGGGAACATTCAATAAACCTAAAATATGTATGTATGAACATATTTTTCTGAAATATTCTAATTATCTCTGTAAATAAAATATGCTATTAAAGTAACTGAATTATATGCTTAGATGCCACTATCAAATGAAAGGAAATGAAATTTAGGTTTCATGATTTGCAGACTCAACGTAATGCACGTATTCGCGTTCAGCTTAATTCTTCATCGCTTACTACCTAAGCCAATCTGAAAAGTGGAAACAATTGCTTTAACCACATTATTAGCGGCGGTTATTAGTTATTTTGAACTAGGAGGCATTGTTATTAATTATTATTTTTCTGTTCACAATAGCTGGGTTTTTGCAACAAAACAATGTTGGCAATACTGACAAACCTTACTTTGACAGATGAAAATAAACGAACTAAATTACAGATTGTGTAGAGTGATTTTGCCTGTATAAACTTGTATTCAGTTTTATATACTTGATCACCCAATAATAAAACTTCAATATATTTGTAAGGTATTTTAATTTTAAAATTCTAATAACAAATTTTCTTCATGTCGAGACATTTTGAAATAACTTTAATATCGGATAGCGAATGTTCTTACCCGCATTACCTAACACACTTGTTTGAAAATAGGAAATAGCTAACTCGTACTTACACTATCTGTTGCGTCAAGTCGACTTCTAGAATATCTAATTAAAGAGTTAAATTAATTTAAAATATAAATGAATTACAAATATGTAATTGAATTTATAAAGTTTTTGTTATAAAAAGTACTTACTAGGCAACCCTAGTGATACCACTTAATCTATTTCTTAATAATTAATGGAAGTTCGAAATGTAATCATATGATGCTTACCCTTTTGTACATATTTACATTACCACTGTTTAAGCCTTAGCTTAGCTTAGTGTTTCTAAGAAACGGAATAAGAAGAGAGTTGTAATAAACCACACTCTTCCGAACGCATCAGCTTTTTAACTTATATTTTCCTTGTTTAGCAACAGGCAATTGCAACTTTTATTTAAGTTGCGCATCCCACATTTATCATTCAAATTTGATTTCATCTCAAAATTGCTTTAAGTTACAATAACCACACTTTTCTACTACTGCACTCTTACTTTTTAGCATTCTGAACGGCTGTCTTGATATCACTTTTCCAATTCAAGTCGTGGAGCAAGTTGATCGATCAAGTTAAAACAGTTGATCTTATAGATTTGCAAACAAATCCCAGCTTTAATTATGTGAAATATGAAATATAATTGTTATATTCATGGATTGTAACAAATTATAGGTGTAATAAATTTTGCAGAAATTAAATGTCTGTGTATCTCGAATATTACTATGTAATATAGTAGAACAAGTAAAGTTGATAAAAGCAAAATCTGATTTTAAATATAATCTATAGTTATTTTTGTACAACGACATTGCTTTCAACTCATTCTTTCCTATCTTTCCATCTATCCATTATATTATAATTTCATCAAACTTTTAAAGATTAAATCGGTACATAAGTTGAAACAAATGTTTACTAAATGTCTATGTTTATTATAAACTCT